TACTCTACATAATACAGTGAGCTTTTAAGTAAGTAATACAATAAGTTTTTAATGAAGCAACTCAACGTTCCTTCGTTACTAGTTCTAAAGTGATGTTTTCGAATTAGTAACGGAGGCTTCAGCTCAGCTGTTAAACTGTCAAACTGAGATTTGAATATGTGGCGGAAGGAAGTAGTTCCACACAAAAGGGTTTTTAAAGACACTTCGTTGTTTTTCATATATATTTACACTCGTGCTGTCGAACTGTTGTATAAACGCAATATCACTCGAGTACGAGAGCGATACCGGCTCTATATCAGCGGCTGTGATTGCCTCTCGGGCCTAATCACAGCCATGCTGATATAGAGCCCGTATCGCTCTCGTACTCGAGTGATATTGCTCATATATACACACACACGCACGCACGCACGCTTATGGAAGTGTTTCTTCAACTATGGACACTTTTTACTGTTTTGACATGCCAAATAATTTTATTGCTTTATTGCATTTAAAGGTTCAGTTATTTTTGTTATAAGAAAAAAGTTATTAAACCCGTTATACTGTATTATGACAGCACTTTTTAAAACTAAATTTCAATATCGTGATAATACCGCATACCGTGATAAAAGCATTAGCAATTAATCGCAACATGAAAATTTGATACCGGCATATCCCTAGTTTGTAGTGCAGACAGTTTTACCGTTTACTGCACACTGTTATTCTTCTCGTTATTTCCCTACAGCGTCTAATGAACCGGAAGTCTCGCACATCGGCTTACTTCCACATTGAAGAATAAGGTGGATATTTTTACCAATTTATTCTTGTTATTATTATTATTATTGTGTAATATTTTTCTTTTTTTAACTGCATAATTTTACCAAAATTTGAGTGTGATTAATATAAAACATTTTCACACAATAAATATTTAAATTGTATGTTTCATCCTAGTATTACTTTTTTTTAGTTGTAAACTTTTTTCATGTTTTATATATGTATATATATATATATATATATATACACACACACACATTTTAACAATAGTGAAAATAAATTGAGGCAGTTTTGTGGCCCTTCATCTAAAAATCTGTTCAACCTCTGGAACAAAAAAGTCTGTGTATATAATGTATTCTGTGTCGTTCACACACAGATCGATCACATGTGTATCCCTCTGCATTTTATTCTTGAATATTTATATGTTTTCCAAATCAGACATGTTCTCTCCTCTCGTTGCTCTAAGAAATATTTAAGCGATTATCAGTCATGCTCATGGACAGCAGGAGTGTTACCAACCAATCTAATCGTCTCCAAACATCTGTTACACCTCAGGAACACCTCCATATGCGCTTGAGTTTGGAGTGGACATGTGTTAGTGTGTTTTGATTTGCCCAGCAGGAGTGAACAACTGGGGCCTCTCAGAATATGTTGTGAGTGTGTGTGAGAGAATGCATGTGTGTTTGAACTGTGTGTTTGTGTACTTCTATGTCGTGTGTGTGTCTTTGTGTATGTGTGTGTGTGTGTGAGTTTACCTGTGTGGATTTATCTACTTGGGTCTCTCAGTGTGTGTGTGTGTGTGTGTGTGTGTGTGTGTGTGTGTGTGTCTGTGTGTGTGTGTCTGTGTGTGTCTGTGTGGACTTATACTGCAGAAAGGTTGTATTATGGTTTTGCACCCCTGAAGCGCATAATTGGATATCGTCATGGCAAGAGAATGTGACTGTTATGATAACAGAAACAAAGTGTTCTCATTATGTTCAAAAGTTAATTTACTTTACTGTCTGTCAGTGGCTTCAGTTTAATTCATATCTCTGCTGCCCCCAGCTGGACTGTAAAATATAATGCAAAAAGTGGGAATTACACTTGCATTTTAGAAGGCTCTTAACACAGGATTTGTATTGTAATGAATAATTAATGTAATAAATAATGCAAATAATATATTAAAGTGAATAACCTGTTAATGTGAGCTGACTTTAATTATGTTAAATATATTCTTATGGGTTCCAGTGGTATCTGTAGTCTTTAATATAATTTCACACAAAGGTTCTGAATATCCAGTAGCATTATTGAGAGGGTGATGTTGCTTAATGTAATTAATATAGAATAGCATAAAACATTTCTGGTTAATTTTTAATATTTTTTACTACAATTGAAAATAATTTTATTTTAGTGCAATGACTTTCCATACAAGAAGCTGTACGCCTACAGTATAGTAAAACGTGACTTCATTCTGGTTGAATCCTCCTTCAGTAGCTCTTTATTATGCTTAATTTATCATATTCACGATACTGTCGCATGAAGCAGTTTTTGTCTACCAGTGTTCAGGAAACCTGTGTATAAACGTTATTTCGGTGCAGAAATTAGTGTCAGTAGACGCCCATCTGAGTGATCCACATCTGTGTTCTTGCACATCTGTTTGTGTGTCTAAAGACAGACTCCCTGTGTCTGTCTGCAGGGATCTCAAAGCTGGAAACATTCTGCTGGGGGAGGACGGATCAGTGCAAATCGCAGGTACCAACTTTCTCTTTAACTGCACTTACATTCTGCTTAACAGTGAAAAATGGCCATTATAGTCCAGATAATCCAAAAAGCACAAACATACTGTACTGCTGTGATATTTAAAGATCTTTTTTTTTTTTTTTTTTTAATTTCTTGCTGAAGAGAGTGCAATTTTATTGCCTGACATTTTCCATTCTTGTTGTTTAAAAGTTTGGGGGCGGTAAGAATTTTAAATATTTTTGAAAGAAGACCAAGACCACATTTATTTGATTAAAAACACAGTACAAACACTGACATTGTAAAATATTATTACAATTTAAAATAACTGTTTTAATATATTTTAAAATGTAATTTATTCCTGTGATGGCAAAGCTGAATTTTCAGTAGCCATTACTCCAGTCTTCAGTGTCACATGATTCTTCACAAATCATCCTCATATGCTGATTTGGTGCTCAAGAAACATTTGTAATTATTATCATGTTAAAAAAATTGCTCAATTGCTTAATATATTTTTGGAAACCATAATGCACGTTTTCAGGATTCTCTGATGAATAGAAAGTTAAAAAGAACAGCATTTATTTGAAATATACATCTTTTGTAACATTATAAATGTCTTTACTATGACTTTTGATCAATTTAATGTACACTTACTAAATAAAAGTATTAATTTTTTTATATATGAAATAAAAACATCCTGACCTCAGACATTCCCTTACCAAAAAGTAGTATACTTCAAGTTTATTTTAGTAAGTATACTTAAGTAAAGTTCAAGTATATTTTTAAGTATACTTTATGTAGTAAGTATACAAATATCAGTGTACTAGTAGTATACTTGTAAGTGTACTATTTCAATACTCCTTGGGACTAAATTGGCCCACTTTCTAGTATATAAAACTATACTTTTAAGTATACTTTAAGTATAACAGTAGTAAACGTTGAGTACACAACTAGTTTACATCAAAAATTTTAGCTTGTACTGCAACTACACTAAAAGTGAACTTATATGAATACTGATAGTTTACTAATTAAATAATTGTAGCGTTTTTAGTACACTTTGAAGTATAGTCTCAGTAAACTACTAGTTTAGTAGTTTTATACTGCAAGTATACTCGTAAGTTTTCTTTAAAGGTAGAGTGAGGGATTTCTGGTAGCCAATGTTTATATTTGAAATCACCAAAACAAACACGCCCCTACCCCAAAAGGGTCTTGCCCCTATTTTGATAGCTCCGCCCCACATATACGTACGCAACCCAGGCCACGATTAGTTCTGTGAAACAAAGCAAAACTCAAGTATAACAATGAAAACATGGATTCTAGGAGCACAATTATAGCTGAAATATATTTAGACTTTTTCTAAGTATAAGTCAAGTATACTTAAATGTAATTTTAAGTATATTTCTGAGAAGTACATAAAGCCCATTTCTGAGAAGTACATAAAAAGTAGACTAAAAGTATACTTTCCTATTTTTAGTTTAAAAGAAGTATACTAATAGCACACTTGAATAAACTTCTTTTTCGTAAGGGTTTGAACAGTAGTTTATACATCTGAATATTGAAGTGTGTAACATATTCATGTAAAATTTTTCTATACATAGTTTTTTACAGATTGCAGTTTCCTTATTTTAAACATACTATTCCTAACTAATTTATTTTAAGTGCAGTGTTTAAGTGCCTTTAAGTGCCCGCTTTCTGAATTGCCATACTGAATTTTGTTATATCGTATGCAATGGCAATAAAGCATGTTACTTATTATTTTAAACTGTGATATATATATATGTTTTTTTTTTCTCTACATTTTGATAAGTGATTTTTTTTTCTGTTTAGATTTCGGTGTAAGTGCCTTCTTAGCCACTGGTGGTGACGTGACTCGAAATAAAGTGCGGAAGACGTTTGTGGGAACGCCATGTTGGATGGCTCCAGAAGTGATGGAGCAGGCAAGTATTTCCACCCAACAACCACGGCTCATTTAAAGCCATACAACTCAGATCACATGGTATTAAATTGGAAAAATGCCAAACAGAAGCATTTTCTCTAGTCTCAAACTGTTGGATCTCACTGTACATGGACTGAATTACATGGACAATTAAAGCTCTTATTTTGTCCTTTTAAAGTCTAAAGATTTCAATGTGGTGTAAAATTGCCAGTAACTGCTGGCATATGGATGCATCTCTCGTGTTAAACAAATCGGTGACTGTTTGTGTGCAGGTGAAAGGTTACGACTTCAAAGCAGACATCTGGAGTTTTGGGATCACAGCCATCGAGCTGGCCACAGGTGCCGCTCCTTACCACAAATACCCTCCTATGAAGGTGAGGAAAGATACAGGAGATACAGTCCCATACGAGCTCTAATGAATCTTACAGCTGTTTCAAGACAGTCATGCATCACTCTTAATGAGAAACGTGTTGTTTTTATAGCATGTGGGGTGTTTGTGTTTACAGGTGTTGATGTTGACCCTGCAGAATGATCCGCCTTGTCTTGAGACTGGAATCACAGACAAGGAGATGGTGAAGAAATATGGGAAATCCTTGAGGAAGATGATCTTGTTGTGTTTGCAGAGGGACCCAGAGAAAAGGTGCTGAGCAGAGCAGCAATGATCTTGTTAGGTCATGTGAGAAAAATACACTACTGTTCAAAGGTTTGGGGTCTGTAAGATTAAAAAAAAAAAAAAAAAGTTCTCTTATGCTCACCATGGATGCATTTATTTGATAAAAAATACAGTAAAACTGTAATATAGTGAAATAGTATTACAATTTAAAATAACTGTTTTAATATATTTTAATTTTTATTTTATTTCTCTTGATTTTTCAGCATCATTACTCCAGTCTTCAGTGTCACGTGATCCTTCAGAAATTATTCTAATATTTTGATTTACTGCTCAAGAAACATTTCTTATAATGATCAATATTGAAAACTGTTGTGCTGCTTAATATTTTTGTGGTAAACCACATTTGTAACATTATAAGTGTCTTTACTGTCACTTTTGATCAATTCAATGCATCCTTGCTGAAAAAAGTATACATTTCTTAAAAAAAAAAAAAAACTTACTGACCCCAAACTTTGGAACAGTAGTGTATGTGTCAAGTAGTATTTAGCTGGTCATGTGATCTCACCATGGCAGCCACCAAGACCTGCTCAATAAAAAAAATGGCTCAAATATTTTATTCGGCTAATATATGATTTTAACCATTTTCTAAAAGTGCACTTTTTCTGTGTAAAGTTTTTGAAAGAGGAAAAAGTTTTTATTTTTTATTTTTTTAAATGACTGTTAATGCTGATATTGCCTGATAACACTAAGTTACAGCAAATATATTTCAATAGTGTTTGCTTTTTAGGCCGACATCATCAGAACTCTTAAAACATAAATTCTTCCAGAAAGCCAAGGTAAGAATCTTACTTCCAAGTCTTTTTTTTTATTGTTCCATGTTATCCTGTCATCATTTAATCACCCTCATGTTTTTGCAAATCTGTATGTCATTCTTTCTTCTGTGTAACATTAAAGATGCTTTTTTTAATACAACAAAAATTATTAATATGCTATTGTCGTACTCAAAAACAGGACAAAAAACACACTCAAAACATAATCCATACTGTATTTCTTCTGAAGCCATACAATGTTTTCACACTATATTTGAATCCAAATGCAGAGGTGTAAATTGAAAAGATCCGTGAATACAAACTTAAATTTCGTTATTTTAGTGATGAACAGTTTTACTGATTCATAGGCAAATTTCAGAATAAAATACAGTAACTCTGAATCAACATTTTACCCCGTTAACAAACCCATCCCAAACTAGTCCCCAACTACAGCTTTAAGGACACAACTTGACTATAATTAAATAGAATTAAAACATCCTTCAATATATAATGATGAGAAAACTAAATAAATAAAATACGCTGAAATAAAATGAATAAATTAAATCCCATCTTATAACACATCACATTTACACTGTCACTATCAGCATATTTCTCACACATAGCTATTACTGTCCCATTTCCAAATAGGTTAAGTACTTGGACCATTTTTTATAGTATAGGTTTAGCTTGTCCGTCTGCTTATAAGGCGTTTTTCAAATGCAGCCACTCTAGCTAGTTCTGCTACCCATTCCTGAAAGGAAGGGACATCCTCTGACTTCCAGCTTCTGAGAATTATTTGTCTGCCAATCATTAAACTGGTTTGGACCCAGGATTGAATGTGTTTGTCTCTTATTTGAACTCTGTAATAGCAAGATTGAAGGCAAAGCACACTGCTCAATCTTATACCAAGGGGGAGCTTGCTCTGGGGGAAGTGACCAATGAGCCAGGTGTCTAAGACTAAAAGCATAAGAATAATACAATACATTAGGCAGGCCTAACCCACCTTTCTCTCCAGGCCTCTGTAACTAACCGAGATCGCTTAACATTCCAAATAAAATTCTTACACATTCTGCCAGACTGTTTAAAATAGGAAAGTGATATTTGTATTGGGAGAGACTGTAGTAGATAATTCAGTTTGGGTGTACGACTCATTTTAATTACATTGACTTTTCCAGCCATTGATATGGAGAGTGGAGCCCACCTATCCATATCACAGGAATTATTTTTCATTAAGGGGTCAAAGTTAACTCTCACTAAATCCTTCAAATCCAGGGGAAATAAAATACCTAAATTAGGCCATTGATGCTGGAGTTGAATCTGAGTGTCAGCCCATGTTGTAATTCAACTGTAATTGTGGTTATTACCATAATTTAGAAAAAAAAAAAAAATCTTTGTGTTCCATTTTGTTTGGCAGAATAATGAATTCCTGCAGGAGAAATTATTACAGAAAGCACCTACAATTACAGAAAGAGCGAGAAAGGTGAGGAAAATTTATACCCTGTTTTATGAGGTGTTTATATAGTATTATTATATGCTTCTCATTTTCATATACTTATTTATATTTAGCCAGTTTTTATGTATATGCAGAGCACCACAAATTAAAATAATTTCTCAGGGACAATAAAGAATACACTGTGTAAAAACAAATATATAAAAAATTCTAAGTCGTAAATAAAACAAATTATTGGAGTATGTTTTACAATAATTTTTTTTTCTTTTGTAATTATTTGTGAATTTACTAAATTTACTAGCAATTTCTGAGTGAGTGAAAACTGTTTCAAAGTAAACCCTACAATCAAACATCAAAAAGTGAACTTCTAATCAATTTGGAATGAATGAATGAAAGATATTTCAAAAACGAATTGAAACTAATTTTAATTATCTCTTTTTATTCCACATGATGGATAAATATAATAATAATAATACATATGAATGAATTTAAAAAAAAATTAAACTTTATATTGTGTGTGTTTGTGTGTAGGTTCGGCGAGTTCCTGGCTCCAGTGGGAGACTCCATAAAACAGAAGATGGACAATGGGAATGGAGTGATGATGAACTGGATGAGGAGAGCGAGGAGGGCAGAGCTGCTATTGCTGCCTTACGGGTAACACGCACACACACACACACACACATGCACAAGCATAATTTCAGACCCTTGCTGAAGACATCATTTTGAGAGTTCCAGCACCAGTGGTTTACCCTCTTTGTGTGTGGTGTTTGTAATGCTGTTGGCTGTTATGGCACCTCTCATCCCTGGGCTCTGTGTTTTGTGTTTGCCGCTAAAGGAGCAGCAGTCCAAGTCGACAAGGCGACAAGTCCGTTTCTCTCAGCCTCTTGAGCTGCCCCCACCCAGGGTTGTTCAGTTTTCCCGCTGATACAGATGGCTCACCTTAACAAGGAAGCACACTCAGTCAGACACAACATTAGGACATGCAGGAACTGGAAGTGCTAGATAAAGAGAAAGAAAATTTGTTTAGAGAGCATTATATATCTGCTAATATTCTTGATATCCAGCTTCAAAGACTAAAACAATAAAGATACTAGAGTTCAGGTTGGTTAAGGATGAATGTTGAACCTTCACCTGTCTGTGACAATCTGTTTCTCTGCATATCTATGCAAGAAATAATCATGTACAGTATAAAATCATTTAGACGTAGCGTACTATTAATAATTACCTCTAAGAGCTTACATAATTGTGTTAACCCATGGCCAGGTAAAACACATATTTGATTTGTTAAAATATACTGATGTCACGGCTCGCTGGACGATCCTTGATTTAAAGTGTAACATAACAGGTTTGAAATCGGTTTAATCAGGTGGACTTTGAATATTCAGATCCGAGTCCTATCAAAACCTGAATGAATTAATAATAATTAATTCCCTACAGTTAAAATTAAGTAATCAAAGTCATTACAGATCGCTTAATGTGATAACTTTTGCTCAATATCTTCTGCTTGTTATGAACCTATAGCTTATATGTGCTACAGAATTACCTACTTACCTGGCTTTTTAAGCTTAACCACATACTCTAATCTGAATGATTAAACTGTGGTAAAGCAAAAATAGTGTAACCAAACTGTTCTTGCTAGGAGAAACAGAGAGACCGACTTAAAAGTGATGATGTGTGCTTCCTAGATGCCATCTGTATCGTGTTTTTATTTATAACTTTGACATACTGACCAAATCAATGATCTCTGATAACCATCCAGATTCTGTTTAACAGCCTCATAATGAGACTTCTGTTGGTTTAGGCACTAACATGCAATATGGTCACTTCTGGTCACTACATGATCTTTGTATTCCAGTTTAGAAATCACTTTGTATCTACAGTATCTATCTATCCTTGCTGATTAAAAAAATCTTACTGGCCTCAAAACAACAGTAGTGTAAGTCTGAGCAAACCTTAGGTTAGGTGGCAGTGTTTAATTGTGTCTGTTTGGGAATACACTGGATGTATGAAGTTGATACTATTGAATAGAATATGTTTTAGGCAGATATTGTGTAATTTGGTTGCGTATCTTAAAACAATTCCAGTAGTCCTTCAATTCTTGAAGGATATTTTACTAAAACTATGAAATACTTCAAATTATAGCACAAGCGTAAAATAAAATACTCACGAAGGACCTTAACTCCCTGCTTCATTCCTTACTACAGTGCATTCAAATCCAAAGCTGAATTACAGTAACCCAAAGTGACCAGAGTTTATATTTCACAGTTTTTTATATTTATAACATAATTTATAAATGTTTGTGTGGGTCTATGCATGTATTTGTAGATATTCCAGCCTTTCAGCAGTCACCTCCAGCCTGAACTACCTCAGTCTGCTGGCCAGGGCCCGGCCAACACTCAACACACTGTCCCAACTACTACCCCAACCCCAGCTGCGAACCCTGCGCAGGTAGATCACCAACAGCAAATCATAGTTCACACATTTTGACATCTCTATTCCAGTCAAAGCTGTTGTATCAAGCATGAAGTTAGGAAATTAGGCCACCTCTGTCTGTACAGAGAGTCTGAACCTCTGCCTCTGTCTGTAGCCCCCAGTTCCTGGAGCCGATGCCTCACCGTCCCCGATCAGTTTAGTATTAAGGTTAAGGTAAGATGTGTTTGTTTTTTATGTTTTGAGTCATGTATTGACATTGATCCAGTGTTAACAGGAGCAGTAGATGACTTATATTTCTCCTTCCGTCCTATAGAAACTTGAAAAAGGAACTGAATGACATACGATTTGAGTTCATGCCAGGCAGAGGTAAGAGCGTAAAGATGTGGCTAATTGTCAACAATAAATCAAGCAATAATTACACTTGAATAAGTCCACACAATACACTCTTAAAGGGATACTCATCATTTAATCGCCCTCAGGCCATCCCAGGTGTACTTTCTTTCTTCTACGGAACACAAACTGAGATTTTTAGAAAAAAAATATTTTCTGGCAGTGAAAGGGTCCCTCAAAGATGACACTTGAAAAAACATGCTAAACAAACACGATGGTAATCCATAAGACCCCAGTTGATGAATCAATGTCACTTTTATGAGTGGAGTATCCCTTTAATGCAGATGTATTCCCAAAGTGTTCATGACTCTTTAGAAAAACCACTCAATATTGTGGCTGACAGTTGTCACATTTGTCAATCTCAATCGGTTTGATTTACACACTTGGGCAGTTCTATTGTCCAACATGTTTTTCTTTAACAAACCAATTTAGCACCTTTTAGAATCAGTTCCTCTTTATCTCCAGCAGAGGCCAAAGCAAAGCAAGAGTACATTTTTTCTACCCCATCAGATGTCAAAGAGCACCAACTCTCTGCATCTGCATTTTGTCAGTGCCGTCACCGTATTGTGAATTTTCAAGACTCCCAAAATAAAACATTTAGTGTCATGTGCATTTAGCTGGCTCCAGGGGAGATGTTCATTTCTGACGGCCTGATGTAGTGCTTGAGAATGCTCTTCTGCCCGAGCACGCCTTCATTCTGCTTTCTGAACTGACTGTAGCATGTTGTGTGCAGCTGATCAGTTAAGTTGTCAGCCTCATTCTGGAAGATCTACAAGCTTGTCAGTTCAAATATACAGGAGGTTGTAATTTGCCAGACTGAGAGTTTATTGGTCTAAGCAAGTCATTTTAAAGTGGAGTTAATGCATCGCATGCATTTTCTTTTTCTGTAGACACAGCAGATGGGGTTTCTCAGGAGCTGGTATCGGCCGGCTTGGTAGATGGGAGAGATTTAGTTATAGGTAAGGATTCTTTTCGTTATTTTTCTTTAAAGAAATTAATAGTTTTATTGAGCAAGAATGCATTAAATAAATTAGTTCTGTTCAAATTCTGTTTAAAATAAATGCTTTAAAATATATATTTTTTTCTGGTCATCAAAGAATACTGATCCTTAAATTAATGTATCACAGTTTTCGCCAAAATATTAAGCAGCACAACCATTTTTCAACATAGATAATGATAAAATGTTTCACCGAATCAGCATATTAGATTGATTTCTGAAAGATCATGTGACGCTGAAGACTGATTATGATGAATTCTTAATTCTAATATATCATGGTCCTAAACCTCTGTTTCGTGTAATTTCAGTGGCTGCTAATTTGCAGAAGATAGTCGAAGAGCCTCATTCCAATAAAAATGTCACATTTAAACTGGTGAGTGACTTCTGGTTTGGTTAAAGCCACTGTGTGTTAGTCCTCATTGGTGTTTTGCAGTAACACGGCATGCGTGGTGTTTTTCAGGCCTCTGGCGTTGAGGGCTCTGAGATTCCTGATGATGTCAAACTCTTGGGATTTGCTCAGCTCAGCATTAACTAAACTTTGGCTCTGTGCGGGACCATGACTTGCCTACAAATGTGAAAACAAACCAACACTACCAACAGAATGACACATTGATGCATTTTTTTCCCCCTTTCAATTGCCCTAAAGAAACCACTGTTGCCAAAGAGAAAAGTACCCTAGCACCAGCCCATAGGATTTCAAACGGCCCAGCGGAAGAGTTGCACAAACATGAGAGTGATCAGAATTTGTAGGAATCGATTAAAATAAAGTTTAGAATTTATTTGTATAAGGATGCAATTATCATAACCAGATATAACCTCTTAATGTTCTTCTAATGTTTATCTTTCTTTTCTTCTGTTTTTTGATTGTCCTAGTTTTGCCAAATCTGTACGGACACCCTAAAAATGAACAATGTAAAAATGCCTCCAATATAACTACTGAGCGCATACACTCTTAAAAATAAAGGTGCTTCACTATACCATAGAATAACCTTTTTGTCTAAATGGTTCCATAAAGAACCTTTAACATCTGAAGAACCTTTCTGTTTCACAAAAGGTTCTCTGTGGTGAAAGAAGGTTCTCCAGATTGTAAAAAGGTAAGAAAGAGATGGACCTTTGGCTGAATGGTTCTTTGTGGAACCAAAAAAGGTTCTTCTATGGCATCGCTGTGAAGAACCTTTTGAAGCACCTTTATTTTTAAGTGTATAAGAGGAGTGAAACTCAAAGAAACATGGAGTTTATAGAGGAAATGAGTAAATGGGTTTAGCTATAGTTATAGCTTTTTTTTAACCTATATTTTTTGAAGCTTTTGAAGAGAAGCAGCTAAGCATGTTTTATCACACCGCTTGCATTATTTAATTAAGTTCAGTTTAAACCAGCTTGATGAACACTTATATAAAATCAGGTTTTGAAATTTCAAACAACTTTTACTTTCTCTGCTGTTATACGCAGAGCTTGATTTCTTCATTGTACACTGACTAGTATCAATACAAACACAAAAATTCTCAAATATTTCAGATGCTACAGATAAGTTGAATAAGTTTAAATAGTTTATTTAGTGTCATTGAGCCCTAATGAACACTCCTAAAGGCTGGTTTTACTGCTTTTTCCCTTTTTGGTGTCTTTTTTTTTTTTTTTTTTTTTTTGCTGTCTCAACTTGGCACATTTGCAAATGTTACTATCCCATGCTGCTCTAAAAGTTATTGCCTTAATATTTCTACACATTTTTGCATCACACATATCTCTCCTTTTTTAGATTTTGCATTAATTTGTGAGTTTTGGTTTTAATTTTTTGACGTTATCTGTGACTTCTGCTCATTTTTATAAGTATCTCTGTAAGTGAAAAGGTAGAAGTACCTGAGGTACCTGATGAAACTTTGGTGTTTGGCTTTTTCCTGCTCTGGAATTGAACTCTTAGTATTCATGTGTATTTCTGATGTGGATGAACTCGATTGAGCATGTAAATAATGTAATTTGCCATTGGTTTGATTTTATATGGGATGTTTCACTCATGGCCTTCTTCATAAATAAGGTGATGGGAGGTGGTGTCAGCTACAAAAGACACATTGTGAGTTTTCTTGGTTTGTCTTTGTCTATGAGGGTGCCTATGATCACAGTGGGATCTTAGGTATAGCATAAATCTCCCTGGTGTTTTTTTGAGCAGGTCTGTTCTAAATTGCTAAAGTTCTCTTAAAATTCATGTGAGAGGTTGTTTACGTCACCCAAGAAATCTCATTTAAACATATCGCTACCTGTGTGCAAGAACGGCCTGGAATAATCTTAAGGAACTTAATTATTTTAAAGCAGTGTTTCACCTGATTTTATTATTATTATTATTCCCCTTTGCCCTTTTTGACATTTTAATGTTGGGCTTTAATGTTGAATATATATATATTCAACTAATTATTAAATAATTTAAAAAAAAATTCCTACTTTATTTTCCAGTTTTATTGGGAAAATTTAAACGATAATAGGAAGTAACAAAAAAAAGATTTGACGGTAAAGCATTTTCACCTCGTTGCAATCATAACAAAGCTGTCGACTAAAAATAGTTAAAAATTAAAACATTGCTTGCATTGAAAAGGCTTTTTTTGCTTTGAGTAAGGAATTTATTCTATGTAGATCTATATAATTATAGCATATAATTAAATTATATCCAGTCTTAATAATAATGCATTTCATAAGGTCACACAAGTGTTTTGGCTTTTTGCCAAAGTCCTTAATGTGGAACAGTGTTGTACAAGGACAGACGCCTTCAGTCAGTTTACTGTAAGCAACAACAACAACAACAACAAATTAAAAGCAAAAATGGTAAATTATCAATTTATTTTTCTTTATATTTTCACTTAATTTTCTTTAGCTTGTGTTGATTTTTAAATGCTTTAAAATCAATAAAGAATAAATTTAAAAGGTGCCTAAAATGCCTCCTTATTGGTATATATTACTGTATTTGAATATATTATGCTCCCGCAGAGCTGAATTATATAAAAGTTGTTCATTTTGATTTACAGCAAAGATAAACAACTTAAGAATAACAAAACATTTAAGTTAACTGATAAATAACTAGTAAAATGTAGCAAATGATTTTAAAAGGCACATTTATCGTCAGGTTACCAACATCCTTCAAAATGTCGTCTTTTGTGTTCAACAGAGAAAGAAATTCATACGGGTTTGGAACAACATGAGGGTGCGTAAATGATGGGTGAACTATCCCAAAAAAGGCCGCAACTGCATTAGCCTCATGATCCAAAGTCCCTCACGTACACACACTGCTGGAATTCCTCTCAGTACATTTCAACCACTAGAACCAGCGTATTAACCTGCTATTAAATACCTTCTTTTGCATAAGAACATATTTTATTACTATTAATTTAAAATCTTTTGGCTGTCCTTATCGCTGTGAAAAAGGTGCTTTATCTTTGTCGTGACAGATAAGAGCACGTGCAGATATGCTGAACCTGTGACACGTTTAAAAATTAATTTCACTCCGCGAAGGTGAACCGTTTTGCAGGTGTTTTAAGCGCGAGCCGCCGCTGACGGTCCTGCAGCAGTGATCATGATAGACTTCGCGCAGATCCTGTCGTCTGTCGGCGAGTCTGGGGCGTTTCAGAAGCGCTTGCTGGTGGCGGTTTGTCTCCCCAACATCTTCACAGCTTTCCACATGTTCGGTCAGGTCTTCACCGCCATCAGCTTCCCACAGAACTGCAACAGCAGCTGGATCTTAGAGCGTGCTCCCAACCTGACAGAAGAGAAGCAGCTGAACCTTACCATCCCTCAGGACAGTAATGGACAACATGAGAGCTGTAAGATGTTCACACCTGTTGATCTCGAGGTTATTTAAGCTTATGGAATAAACACGACGATGCCATGTACTTATGGATGGGTTTATAAGGCACCAGAAGGCAGCAGCACTCATAACTGAGGTATTCAACTTCTTTACCCTACAGTTTTCGTTTTTATACAGTCTATGGTTTATTTATTTTACTTTAAAATAAGTAGGGTAGACTGAGTACAGTAGAGACACTTTCTGCTTTTTTTGGTCCCCATAACGTAGGTAATACCAGTACACACACACAGCCTCTGAATATGCGTCTTATTTTCTGATGGAACGGTTACTGCATACATAGGATATAAAGGGTGTATCAACTGTACCTACTTTACCACCTTGTATATTTCACAAAATGCTATGCTATCCTTTTAACATTCATGTTAGAAAATATGTCCATTAATAATAGACAGTTGAAATATCACAAATATAATTTTTTTAACATAATTTGCGTAGCATGTTATATATATGTATGTATATAGCCTATATGTGTGTGTGTGTGTGTGTGTGTGTATATATATATATATATATATATCATATCATCATCATCATGATAGTGTTTTGTTACTGTGTGCTTTTTATGTAAAGTATATATATACACTATCCAAACTTAAATCGTTGTAATTTATGAACACTTTGGAATACAGACATAAGGTTGGTCTCTTTTTAAAGAAGAAAATCAGCAGATTATTGCAAAAGTTAAAATTCTTTTAAAGAATTAAAGTATCAAAAAGTTAGTTTAAATTTACTGTAAAGAAAATGCGCTATATTAATTTTATTTTATTTTATGTATAATAAATATTTTACATAACAGGTTTTACTCTAAAATTGGTATAAAATTAAAGCCTTATGTCTAAATAAGTTATGTTCCAAATTTGAAGTTGATATGAAAAAAATTGTGGTTCCTGTGAGATTTTAGGGCGGGCGTTATACCACAAACAGCCACCGGGTGCCATCCAAATTCCATTAAATTTTTTAATGCATTTTTCTGTCACAAATGTCTAGATTCCTCTGTCAATATTACTTCTATCTCAAAATAACCACCAAATATGGAATCCTGAGACTCAGACCTTTCCAATTATATGTTTTTTATCAAGATTATAAAAAGTTTTGATTGTAAAAGAGCGTAATGCATTTTGTAATATGACACTTGACACCGCCCACTAAGGGGGAGGAGACCGCCAAAAGATTTTAAAGTACCATTTCCATGGTAAAGCAATGTC